CAAACCTCTTTTCTTGTTCGATACTACTTGGGCGATACTAACAAAACTGTTGACTGCCAGCCTCTCTCCATGCTGGGCCCGTCGAGGAATCACTTGGAGGAGCCGCTGCCGGTGTTGCGACGGCTACATCCGTTACCTTCAGAGATGCTAACATTTTTTCCAAGGGATCCAAGCAAGCATTTACGGGTACTTCATATCAGGTGTTCCCAACGGTTTGCCTCAGGGCCATTGCTCCTTCACGACGGTTTCACGTTGCTCCTCTGGCGACGCATACCCAGCCTCATTTGTTGCCACGGTAGTAGAGGAAAAAGGATCCCCCTTCAGAGGAGATGGTGCTGCATGTGCATCCTGACAAAAGCATCTCAAAATTCTGCTGAGGACTTCCATCATTCCAGCGTTCTTCGATATCTTTTGCCAACACATTCATCTTTACTGGAAGGATCTTGTATCTTTTGAAGACTTGGCTGCCACTTCTTTGATGCCGGACACTTTCAAATCTTCGTTCCGCTCCAAATGCCGGAGTCTTGTGTTTTACACCCCCCTGAGGAAACTGAAACCCAGAGAAACCTACGTAGCCAGCTTCTTTTTTGCTTCCACGCCTGAGTCAAGGCTTGCTTGGATGACGTCTGGTTCTTGACAGGCGGCGAGTCTTCATGCTCAACCTGCCCACACGACGGACTGCATTGTGATTCTTGAGCATCACAGCCAGCCCTTTCGGGACTTGCGCATCTTGTGCGGTTAGTGATTGTTGGATTCCAGTACCATCCGCCATCCGTGGCACCGCCATCCGTGGCACGGAAGGCCAATCAAAAACAAAGGCTTCCATGCGTGTTATATAAAGGGTGCACTGACCAATCCTTGGGCCACAGCACTCGCAGACCACCCAGCCTCCTTGAATGTCTCATCCTGTCAGTTGCCAGGGCTTCTGAGAATCAGGCTCAGATACCAAAATGATGGCATCATGGCGCCAAATGATGCATGGGATCACTGAGACTGCCAGCCATGCGGATGTCATGCGGGGAAGCGTGACACCCACATTACCCAAAACAGGCCAAATACACTACCACACCCAGCTCCGATCAAGCAACACTCCGTCCGGCCAGTCTATCCCGCAAGCCTGCATTCTATCTTCCCAAAGCTCAAACCTCCCGCCGCAAAGGGCGCAGAGATGTGCACAGCAATACAACGCCAAGTTCAGAATCCCAACATCAACCTCTTCTCTCAACCTTCTGGCCCAAGCCTTGGCATGAAAATTTCCATTGCGCCAAGCCAAATCAGAATCCACCTGGAAGTCAACAACCCTTCAACCACCAAAAAAGTGTTTGGGTGGCTGTGCATGTTTTTCGCCCAGTGGCACGACCAAGCGTTTGTACGCAGGACATCGGCGCCACTGCCGGCAAAGCCTCCCCAGCTGTAGCCTCCGGTGAAGGCAGTCATGAAAAAAATAATCACCTGGCTTCACTACGGATCTTCAAAGATTTTGGCACACCTCACTGCGGGATTTGGAGAGACTACACTAGGCTCTCCCCCACCAGAAACTAAAGAAGGAGGATGTCTTTGTGGGAATCGGTCCAAAGCATAGAAACACAAGTTGTTCTAGCTCTAGTCATTCTAGTCCCACTTGGGACGGAAGACTGAAGACCAACAACCGAGGAGACTTGCTGCATCCAAGAGGCAAGGTCGTGCCGCAGGGCAGACTGCGCACACGTTGCTTGGCAGTGCGCCGGCGACGCTTGCATTCCTCCTGATGCGGGTCATTATCTCAAGTTCTCAAGGTCTTCACTGTTATAAGTTGTCGGGGTCTCTTTAGTGGAACCCAGTAACAAACATGCACCTCCCGATTGGAAGACGCCTCACATGTGTGCAGTTGGCCCTCAGGAACTCCAACATGACCAATTTTCACTGCATAAAGACTGGATGCCCTCCTTCCAACAAACATGGGTTGGCGAAACTTAGGTCCACTGTTGAACTTCGGGGGAAGGCTGGTCCTCGCACCTCTCACCACGTGGTCAATCTTTGGCAGACCCTCGCAACCCACCAAAATTTTACACAAAGCTAGCCAACTTGGAGGGCGTGGCATCGTTGCCCACTCCTTGTGCGCATCGTGGCCCACGTCAGCACATTTCTCGCAAAACACGCCGCCCGCGCCGCATTTCTCACAGAAAGCGACCGCTGGGGCCCCACAAAAGCAGCTCGCCATGCAGACCCGACGGACCCTCACATACAGCTTGTCACATGACTTGCGACCTCCCCGGGTGACCTTCTTTGGGGGTATGAACGTGCTGAATGCTGAGGAACAGCTGTCGTTGGGTGGGTTGGGTGACTGGACTTGACTGCGAAGTGAAGTGGGCGGTGCTACACAAGCGCACAAGGCTGGTCCAGTGGTCCAGCGGCATCTGTGAATCTGCCAACTCCCATGTAAAGAGCAATGAAAGGCTCACACGTGACAATGAAGTGTTTTTTCCCCACCCGCCACGTGACCTCCTTTTCTCCGGGCCTTAACTGCAAGTGCTCGATTGCAGTGGGCACCGCCAGGCCTCAACTGCAAGTGCCCGATCTCAGCTGCGAGTATTTGATCGCAGTGGGCACCGACGGACCTCAACCGCAAGTGCTGGATCGCAGTGGGCGGCGCCGGACCTCAAGAGCCAGCCCTCAGTCGCACTGGGCACCGCCGGACCTCGCCAGGTAGAATGCCAGACAGATAGAATGCCAGAGTGTATGCCAGACAGAATTATGCCAGATAGTGTGCCCCAGATACAGTGCCAGAATGTGTGCCAAATGCTGCCACAATGCCAGAATGTATGCCAGATACTGTGCCAGATAGAATGCCAGCAATTATGCCAGATAGAATGCCCAAGTATATGCCAGGGTCTTATTTTATGCCAGATAGGCAAGCTTCAACGCCAGAATATGTGCCATGTAGAGAAACGCATTCTTCGATGGCAGAATAATGTCGGAATACATGTCAGAGCACATGCTAGGACCGAAGTCGGACCATATGTCACAGCACATGTCAGACTTCACGGCGCACGGCGTGAGAAATGTCAGAACACATGCCAACAAGGACGTCAGAACAGAGCCCAGGAGGTTTCCCAGCCTTCACGGCAGATGATGTGTCAGAGCACAAACCAGACGTGATGCCAGAACAAGCGTCAGAAGATTGCGTCAATCCGCATGCCCGCCTTTGTCAGGCTAATCACATGTGCCCGCCTTCTTCCAAATCGCCTTTCAGGGTGGGGATCGCTCGAAGTAAGTAAGTATATATACTTAAATAAATTTGTACATCAATATATATATATATATATATTTCTATATTGTATATATGTCAATGTATCCAACTGCAGGGGTCCAGGGTCTGGGACAGTTGTTTGCCTCTACCTGCATTTGAGCAAAAAATTAGCGGGTTCGGACCCTCTGACACAGAGTGAACAAGCCGCTTGCGGGTCAGATTGGTCAGTCAGTTCCAGCCCTCAGTGTCCTTCCCCGACGCGGACTGAAGAGTCATGAGTCGTGGATTGCAACCTGCCGTTCATTGAGCTAGTGGCACTCATGCAGCCTAATTCACACATGCCACCAACCGTGTTGTGTGCGCGCCCCAGGTCCCCGATACAAAATTTCCACACTCCCAAAACCAGATCTAGTTGCACATAGTACGCCTTAAAGCTTCTGACCAAAAGGCCAAAATTGACATACTGCACATACCCACAATGGACCCCAAGGTGACGACCTTGAGAGGCCCTAAAAGTTGGCAACTTTGTGGCCTACGTGGCCTCACAGGGTGGAGGGGCATCTCTCTAAAAATGCCTATAAATACTTTACAACAAAAATGCAGTTCAACCATGCCTTCACATGTTTCTGATTGTGTCTCCACCCATTTGCCTCGAGTCTCTGAAACAATGTGGCTAAGGATTTAACCTCACTCAGCGATCAGTACTCCTTCTCGGGGCGGTTTTGCTGCTCAAGCCTGAACGGCACAAAGAGCAGCCATCAATGGATCAACAGTAAGTAGCTAAGTAGAAGTCGCATCCATGAAGCGTGTGCTATGTGCACGTGTGGCAGAGTCAGGCAGTCAGTTGTCATCATACCTGAACACTTGGGCAGCTTCTGCAAGCACCTTGACCGCCTTTGGCTTCACCCCAATGCAAGCCGTTTATGCCGCGACCCCCGACGAGTGATCCAACCTCAACTGGTCCATCTTCTCGTCATAGCGCGAGATCGCGCCCATGCTGCGGTTGGGCGAATCCGCAGGGATCTGGCACTTTTCACTCAAAGCAACCGTCTTGGAACGAAGACCCATGTGGACTGGCTTTCACTTTCACCTAAGACCGGCACACCACGATCGATCTCCGTGCCAGGGGTCCAAATGCCCAGCAGCACGACGCCGAAGATGGTGATGGGAATCCTTAGGCTCATGTCACTGCATCTCCCTCGACGGCTCCGCGTGTCTCGCTGGCACATCCTTACTGGCTTGGAACCTTCTGCCTCTGCGGCATCCGTGTCTCCGTTTCAGCACAGGCCCCGTCGCGGTCACAGGAAGCCAAGGCTCACGAAGAACATGGCGTAGGTAAAAAGGATCTGAGTGCGCCCGCACCCAGGTGCAGATGCGCCCGCACCCAGGTGCAGAACCCAGAACTTTGTGAGGCGATTCTGTGATGCTCTCCTCTCCACCTCTCTCCTCTCTCCTCTCCTCTCTCCTCTCGTCTCTCCTCTCCTCTCGTCTCCTCTCTCCTCCTCTCTCTTTTCTCTCTTCTTTCTCTCTCTTCTCTGTCTTCTCTCTCTTCTTTCTCTCTTCTCTCTCTTCTCTCCTCTTCTCTCTCTTCTCTCCTCTTCTCTCTCTTCTTTCTCTCTTCTCTCTCTTCTCTCTCAGCACAACTCGGTTGCAAAGCGGCAAAGGGCCGGTGTTGTTTGCCAAGGGGCTCCACCAGCCTTAATCTTCTCTTCAGTGGTACCCTCCGGATCCTCTTCCTCCTCTTTCTCTGCCTTCACCCTCAGCTATGGACAAAATGGTTTTTGGGGCAGTTACAATGCCTTACCAATCTGCTCCGTTGTTCAGGGCAAAATGCAACCAGGTCTAACAGTCGGATTTGTTGTTTCCCATCTCACGCAGAGGCTCCAGGGCGTGACCTTGCAAAACAATACAACATTTCACTAGTTCTTACCCGAACTTCAAACATCTGGTTCATCTGATGATCCCTCAATCTCTCATGGGCTGGGAGAACACACACCTTTGCGATGAACCTCCGAAGACACTATCCACGATGATCAGTCGCCCGAGCGATTTCATGGACAAGATGCAAGGCTGCAGCCTCCTCCTGGCAGATGAGTGGTGGTCCAAACACGGCTGTCTCCAAACGTTTGGAACCTCAAAAGGGAGTGCACCAGTCACTCATTCAAATTGCAATGATCAAAGCCGCAAACACAAGAACACCGCAACTGCATTTTTGTACTTTGCGGAGTTCCAGGGAACCAGGTCTGGAAATCAGAGGCTTTGTCGACAAGCTATGTAATTGGCTTTTTGGATCTTCAAGTGAACTCAAGGCTGAATTCTGTCTTCAGGCTTTAATTATTGACCTCTTGAAGCGCCAGCAATGATGGCAAAGGCAAGCAACTGGCACCCGGCCTCCTTCTCGTACTTGGCAATTCTGAGCTTTTCCGCTGCACCACCAGGATTCGCCCTGGCGCGAACCCATCAGACGCTTTGGGTCCATAGGCGTGGAATTGCCCCCTTTTGTCGCGCATGGTTCACCACAACTATGGGGTACCCGTGCAAGACCACAAAAATACCGGCATCCTCCTGCAAGTTAGAGTGACATAGCAAGGGTAGCTTGGGCCCACTGGGCTGACACAATCCGGTGCACGCCAAAGGTTATATAACATGGGAATCGTTTCACCTGTAGTAACAATGAAGCTCTCTAGTACCTAGTATGTCTTTGAAGCTTTCTAGTAACTAGAAGCTTCCTTGGGAATCGTTTCACTAGGAATCGGTTTCAATTGAAGGGCAAAACATCGCAGTCTTTCGATCTTTGCGCAGTGTCCTATAGGCGCGCGCGCACGATCGGGTGTGAGTGTGTGTGCGTATGCCATCATGATAGTGCACGTTCATCTCAAGGGTTTTCAATGTGGACAACATGCTCCGAACTTGAACTCGCAGCAAACAATGTGTCTTTGCTGATCCTGCCAGCGAATCACTTGATGGCGTTTTTTCCGCACCATGTTCCTGGGTCAGATTGCCTGGGGAAGGCCGCTAGCATCACGCCTCCTGCTGACCAAACGAACATTTTCAACACGGCTCAACGCCACAGGAGACAAGCAACTTTCTCCTGATGTCAATTCAACCAAACTGTCAGGTTGGTATGAAGTGTCCATGAATCAAGTGTCTGCTGGTTAAGCTGTTTGCCCACTGTCATCAGCGCAATCCTCGTCCACGTGGTGTGGGAAGCCTCTACAGCAACATCAATGATGAGACACGCCAAGCCCTCCCTTCCAAACAGTGAATTCAATGCTGAGCATCTGATAAATAGAGGCCGTGAAACCTTTGACCGATTCTTGTATTGCGCAAACACTCACAGAATCTCGAGACAACCCTTTCCAATCTCCATGGGGGCCATGCCGATCTTGACTAGTTTACGGTATTTTTTCATGAATGCAACCATCGCTATTAGGTTTTAATCCATGGCCTCCACCTTAGTTCTACACTCCATGCAAGTTGACGTGCTTGGTGCCTGGCTATCTGCCAAAACCCAACGGTCACACCTTACTGTGGTGAAGTTGGACGGGCTGTAGCAGCACCAGGCCAATATGCCTGTTTGCACGTTGGCGCAACTCAATCTGGCCTCTTCTTGGAGAGCGCCAAGTGAAACAGGATAAGTCAAGCACGATGAGGTTGTACAAAATGTCTGTCATCATGCTCCAGAGCTTTAGAGAACAAATCACGTCCAAAAACTTTAACAAGTCCAATAACTTACACAAACCTTCGCAAAGCCAACATATTTACGGGCTTCTCTGTCCTTCTAGGCTAGACTGTGGCGAAATAGAACATGCCTGGTCCATCATAACAAGTCCGAAAAGGGGTATATGTGCTGTCAGTGTTTGGCAAAAAGCCATTCACAATGGCTTGACTTACAAGGACATGCAGTTGGCTGAACTAAAACAAGCAAAACTGTTCTTAAAGGTGCGGTTGCAGGCTCGTGCCAACAAGGATTTGCGCAATGAGGCACTTACAATCTGATTCATGCATGGTCAACCACAAACAACCGAAGCGTCAACTAAAGCGTTGAAGGGCCTAGCAGAGTCAAAGGCAGAATCTTGAGCATTCTGTGCCTCGCCATCTTGCCTGAGCAGAACTTATATTTTGAAGCGCTGTGTTGCAGCCTGCACTTGGATGCATACGTGCGCTTCACGAATGTCGCCGGGCATATCACCTGTTTGATCATCTGAGGCCCCGGCCGCACTCTGCTTGGCCAGACTTGGCTGAAGCTGATGGATCAAGGCAAGGACTCTGGGGTGGCTAAATACAAACTCCCTCCTCTTAATCATACCTGAGTATCTTTGTGAATGGCAGGCAAGCCGACATTCCATGGATCCCATTTTTGGTGTGATGATGACAAAGGTTTGAGGCCATAGGCCATATCCCTTGGCTGCTGCACGGCACAGGTGCAGCAAATGCTTGCTGTCTGCTCGGCCTACATGACACCACCTTTGAAGCTGGTATGTAACGGTATGTAACCTTGAGCGGTCAGATATCGCCGCGAGGTGGACAAGTTTTTTTACGAAATGCTTCACTGAATGCCAAGCACACAAGGCATTTTCGTGCTTTTCGGATACGGTGAAAGTTCACCTGTCTTGAGTCTATCTCGAGACTATGAGTAGGCAAATTGCTAGGAACCAATATACTTCGATGTATGCATCTAGCTTCGCATCTGAGAGCTCGCTGTGCAGGAGAGCCTTCCGCGATGAATTGTCGGCCCAACAGTTCTGGGCCCCAGGTTGGGAACCTGCTTGTCTTGCCACACTAGAGCCGCTTCTTGCCACAACAGGGTGGTCTTCGAAGAAACGTACATAAACCCGAAAACAAAAACAAACTGCTTGCTTAGCAGTGGAGAGCACCCCACCTTGACCACTCAGCTGAGGCAAGACTTCAAAATGCTCTAGGATCAAATGTTCAAGAGGAGTATGGCGAGACGCCCACCTTAGGAATCCAAGGTGGCCAAATCACAGGTCGACGATGGAAATGTGATGCCTATCTAGGCCCCGATACTGGCATGGAAAAAAATGCGCGCACACACACACAACAAAAAAGAAGATCAACTAAAATCGTGCAATTCCAGATTATATAAAAATCACACCGAATCACACCTCTCACCAAAAGCTAGAACATGAGCAAACCAGCACTTCGCTCATGACCTGAAGTTTTCAGGGCCTCAGACTGGGCCTCCCACCTTGGGGTAGTCGCCCTTGCGGCCGCCGCCAAAGGCCTCAGCTGCCGCCCTCATGATCTGCGCCACCAAATTGCCCTCGGCCTCCAAGGTCTTGACTGCCTGCCGCTTTTCTTCACTGTCCGGTCCAGGATCCGTAAACGAAGTGATGAAAGACTGTGCTAAGACTGGGTCCTTAAAGAGGTCTTCGTGGCAAGAGTTTCATTGGCTCATATAGAATCAGAAGCAAACAGAACAATTGGTGAATCACATGCCACTCGAGGATTGAAAGAAAGACGAATTCAGAATTCCTTTCATCTCCAAGTGTGCATGTAGTGCCTGAAGCTGTGCTCGCAGGCTGCCACTGCGGTCCAAATAGTTGTTCAGCCAGGCAATCTGCTCACTGCCTTCCTACGAAACAGGCAGAACAAAGAAAGAAGTACTGAAAAGCTGTGTCTGTGTATTCTATCCAGGCCAGTCTTGCCAACTGCAATCTGATTGTCTGGTAGCAGAGTCGTGACTCCAAACGGTCAGCGACTCCAATTTCACGTGCCGCCTCAGAATACTCCTCAGCCTGGGAGCTATGGAGTTGGTCCAAAGTGCTTTTGATGGTGGCCTGAGGAGTGGCCGGGCCAGGACTCGGACAGGACAAGACTTGAACAAACAAAACTCGCTGGACTCCTGGCTTGGACTTGGTAGACATACTGAGTCATGAGGAGTTCGCCCCATTGAACACGCAAAAAACCTAGACCTTGGACCTTGGACAACCTGCATCATACGCCGCAATTGTCCGCCTCGTCCTTGGCCAACTTCTGATCCAACTCCATCAAGGCCTCGACCGAGCAGCCTTCCTCCAAACAGGCCTCGGCAAAAACACTTGGGCAAAGTCGTGGAGCTTCTGTCAGTTCTAGAATCTAGAATTGTTTGGTCTCAGCGGTGCTTAACGTCATGGCTCCGGGTGAACTGTTTCCCAGCCACCTGGATGGCCGCGTTGGTGGACTCCGTAGCTTCCAAAACGGGCTCCGGCATGTGTTTGGACTTCACCACCTCAGACGTCCAAACCGGCGCACAGTCCCAGACTCCTGAGAAAAAAGAACTGCAGAAATTCTCGTACATGATAAAGCTACGAGCCATCAAGCTGGCGCCAAGCGGCCGCTCCGTCCACACCGAGGTTCAACTTCCCTGCCTCAAAGGCAGGACGCGCCACCCGCAAGGTTCGGCCGCCGAGGAAGTTGAGAGTCATGCAGCAAGCCATGCCTCTGCAGGCGTTCCAATGAAGAAACTGCGCGACGAGGTCAGAAATCGACATGGTCAGAGCAAATTCAGTGCTCAACCAGAATCGCTCACTCCTCTATCAGTTACTACCTCGCTTTCCTTCAATTATACAGTCCATCTGCAACACCTTCCCGACAAAGGCATGCAGAGATTTGAATGCCCTCAAATCGGGGAGTGTTCACACTTATATACTCCTTTTTTCTGACGGATCATGCGACACATCAAGTGCATTGAAAAGAGCAGCATCGGCTATGGTCCAGTGTATTGACCAAGGCTCAGGACATTTCTCCATTGTATATACATACCACTATATACACAGACTGGATTTGCGTCAAAAGAACAATCCATCAACAGGGCCAACCTCTCAGATCTCGGATTTCAAAAATACGGTCTCACTGTGAGTTTGCTCAGGGCTCTTCAAGAACTTATTCGGGACCATTTCATCGTAATACAACATGTGATCGGCAAATGTTTGATGCCTCTGTGAATATTTGGGGGACCTTAACACATTCGCCACAACTCAAGAAAAAGGAGCCTCTTGCAGAAACTATACGTAGACCAGCTTCTCATTAGATATTAGGCATTGGGTTTTGCAAAGTCCCATTCGCATTATGTCTGATGCGCTGCACCCTGCTATACGAAGTTCGTGTCATTCCCGCGAGGAGTTGCACAACTTGTCTAAGCGCATAATAAGCCTGTCAGCAGATGGATTTATAATGTGGAGGCACGATTATTATATATATATATATATATTGCTTCCGGCAAATCTTATGGGATGGGCCCTTGTTCTTCTTGTCCTTTATCATGCCAGGTTGATGTGATGGTACAAGCAGGAGCTAGTTCAGCAATTTGATATTGCAAGAGTTTGCAACTTCCCAAACTTTTACTGCAAGCTTTGCCTACTCCACTTCTTCATAATTTGTCAGATGAACATATTACATTTAGGTTTCGAACGGAAGTGTATTTGGGGTATTTCTCCAAGGCCGGTATTTCCAAATGAGGACCGTACTCTGGATGTCTTGAAAGAATATGATGCACTTGCATCTCAAACTCAACCACCAACACTCTTCATACCTTTTCCTATCACTCCATTTCATATTCTACTTCCGGCATTGCCATTCTTCAGTGGGATTGCTCTGGACAACGCACTTTTTACAGAATAACGTCGGTGAGATGGTTAGACCGAAAGCAGAAGCAAAAGACTCGATGATCATCAAAAGCAGCTGGCACCGACCAGGTCATTTGCTCCCAATCCTTCTTGAATTCGCTTTAAGTGTCACTCTTTCGTGAATTGGTCGTCCTCTTTTGGTCTTACTCCTTCACATGAACTCTTTTATCTCATTGCGTAGTAGTCACTTCCTGCTCGAAACCTGGTATGCATACCAAGGGGTCGGGTAGAAGGGCTAATTAGTCGCATAGACAAATCAGAACACGTCCCGCCTGCTGCAAGAACGGACAGGAGCGAGACCCTTCGAGGAGTCATTTCTACAAGAGCCTCTCGCAAAGAATTGGGGCAACTCTAGTTCTATCATGCTTCGAGTCGTGAGAACCGAAGTGCCCAGCCAGACAAACTCCAGAATGTTCAGAGCCTCGCACCTACTTAACATATTGAAATCAAGAATCCGTAAGAACATCTAGTTTCGGAGATGCCACGCCTCACGCGTTCGAGGATTGCACAGGGTCAAGGCCAGAGCCAGAACAGCTGCTATCAAGGGTGCCACAGGAGGCTCCGGCTGCAAAACTACTACACAAAAAATTGACTTGTCAAAGGTCCCGATCGATGCTCTAGCCATGGCAGGTGCTTTAGCTTTCTGGCTTGGAGTGGGTCCTGAGTGGTCTGGCTATACTAAACCTGTCAAGCATGTAACTTGTAGCTCAACGTCCAAGACCACAAGTATGTTTCAACCTCAGCACATACTATTCAGCTGATGACGCGCCAAGAGAACTTTGGACAAGAACGAGGTCAATGCCAGGCAACTCGAAAGAAGCTGAGTGAGACGATCCAAGAACAAAAAATAGAAAGCTGCAAGAGACCCTCTTAGTCTCTCCGAAAGGATGGGCAAAGAACCCAAAAAAGAGGTGGCCTGGTTAGCAACAAAGCAACCAATTGCAACATAATATTGTGCACAACCAACTGAATCGTTCAACAATAGGTCCAATAGTTAGAGTAGGTGCTGGCAGGCAGGATTTTAAGCCCATTCGCGTGCAGCATGACACAGCTTCTTGTCATTCTGCTACATGCAAAGTGTAAAACGTTGTGACAACAGGTGACGATGCAATGGCGCCCTTCTTTTGACATTCGTAAGTCTTTGCTTCTCTATATGTATTTATGTATATTTGTATAAGTATATATATATATACGAATGACAAACCAAAGAGCGTGGACTGAGTGGACAATTTGGCAGGCTTCAGACGACGCCCTCACCCAGCACCCATGGCAATCCTGAGGGCACTCTCTCCAGAATCTCTTCACCTCTTTGCCTGTAAACCTGTTCGTTCAAAAGGCTAGGCTAGGCAAGGAGCCAATGTTGCCAAGTATTGCCAAGAGACTTCCTGCCAATTTCCAAGTGATGATTCCTAGGCGAGCATGACTGCAGTTGGAACAAGCTCCTTCTTCCTATACAAAAGTCTTTCCGCTACTGTAAAGTGCGTCTGCATGACGAGGACTATACAGAAGGAAGAAGGGCTACGAAACCCACGAACCAAACAAAGCCAGATTGGTCCCGAGTCTTGTTCCTCCCGAGCGGCACCGCCTGCTCGAACAGGTAATTCATGGCCTGACCAACTTTGCTGTCGCAGGCGTGCACACTGGGACGTATACAATGTACGCAAAGAGAAGGAAAGCCCAAACCTTGCATTTGGAAGGACGCCTGTGTGAATTTCCCTAAAGAAGACTGAAAGCCTAAAGAACGTGTTGCCGAGGTCGAAGTCCTTCACCGTGCCCCAAATAAAAGACCAAGTCTTTCATCCTTTGCTGTCTTTGCCCAAAGGTCACCCATGTGGCTTTTTTCCGCTCCCCGACCGTCTCGCCTCTGTGACCTGCTCCCCCGTCGCCGCGGAGGTCTCGAAGTAGCGCATGCCATGCGAGGCGGCGAAGTCTTCGCCCTCGGCGCGGCTGACAGCGCGGCGGCCCAGGTCCAACTTGTTGGCGCACAGCGCCACGCGACGGCCAGGGGCACCACGCGACCTCGGTTTTTCTACCCCCAATTGAACACTGAAGAGTTGATCTTCCCAATTCTGCATGGTTTGTTCTCAACACAAACAACAGTTCTGCATGGCTGGAAGATCCAGGTATAATATCTCCTTGCCAATTGCTGAGTACAGCTCAGCAAATCATAGCCAATTCACTGTTCATCGAACATCCATTCTTTTTGTGAAACGCTCAACCACCACAACTCACTGCATCACCTTTTCGGCCTCTCCCCTGCTGCCAGGCATCAGCGGGCAGTGATGTGCTTGGGCCTCCTGTTGTCAGTGTTCAACTCTGAATATATAACTTCATGTGGAAATGGCAGAAGAGAGTGGCCACTTGAAAGGTTTAAAACAAATCAAGTGCCTCCAACCAAAGGGAGAGGTCGGCAAAGCTCTTTCTATTCGTCACATCATACACCAGCAGGATGGCCTTGTGAGTGGGTCAAGGTCAAACAAAACCTCAGCCTTGTCTTTCGATGGAAGCATGCCCATTCCAAATGACAAAGCAAACAAAGCGCATCACAGGGAAAGACGACGATCGAAGCGCCAACCTACTAGCGATGGCCCCCAACCAAAAAGAGCGATAGCCTCGAGCCTACTAGCGATGGCCTCCAACCTACGAGCGATGGCCTCCAACCCTCCAACCTAAGAGCTCAAACGCCAAGCGTCGCTCGAGTGCCCCATGTTATAGAACTCTGTCCGAATTTCCCGAAACTCATCTCCTCCTGGGCGCGAGTGCTCAGTCATTGATAAAAACCTGTTCCTAGTATATAGCTTTGTGTTACTAGTAGTAATGGCCTCCAACCTAATGGCGATGACCGCGCAAAGACTCTCCGCGTTTGCCGCTCTGATCGGATGTCCCTGTTGTCCTTTAAGTTCCCCGTGCCACAGACGTTCACCGAAGTCCTGAGGTGTCGAAGAAGTTCACCTTGAGGTCATGGCCCAAGACCCTCACGGGTTTCACCCCGTAGTCGATGCCGATGGTGGGAATGTACTTCTGTACGAAGCGACTCTCACAGTAGCGCTTGATCAGGGTGCTTTTACCCACAGTGGCCGAGCCTGCGCTTGGCTTGACTTGGAGCAAATCATTATATAAATCATGAGCGGTTCTCCAACTAAGTACTGCAGAAGCTTTGAAAAATCCAAAGGCACAATGTCTGTAGACCTTTGTGTGTTGGTACTTTTCGATTCTGAACCTTTAAAATCCACTGGCTCATATCTGTGTGTGATCTTTGTTTTGTCCTGTCCTTCAGGCGTTTTGTGGCGTACCTCCTACGAGCCATATGTGTGCAAATGTTTGTAGAGATGAGTGAGTTGGCATTTATGTTTGAAAGTCAGCATTTTTTGGTGGAAGGAGCATGCTTTCGATCGGCAAGCCAGCTGACACGCTTGTCCACACAGACGTGCTCGGACACCAAGTCACATTGTTCCGTTTGCTGTTCAAAGCAAATTAGGGATGCCAAGAAACACGGCTGAAGTCAAAAGTCTGGGTCTTGGCACATGTTATGCACTTCAAATTCAGTGGAAGCAAAGAAAAATACAGTCGCGGCGTTCCCCTGGACTGATCCAGCCTATAGACATGACTTTCACCCTTAAAGCTCTGCCGGCTGTTGCACTGCTGCTGCTCGAAGGGGCAGCCTCATCATTCAACTTTGATGCTTAGCTTGTTGGTCAGCTGAAATGGGTGCAAAAACCCAGCCCCAAAGCAAATTCAAAGGTCATGATCCCTGCTTGCTAGACACTGCTAGTGTTGCATGCACTGCAGCCCCTCCAGCACAGTAAGTTTCTGACTGATGCAGCCGGCGGCGGTTTGGGCACGCTCGACTCACGAGGTGTATCACCACCTTAGCATGTACACCTTCTTTAAGAATGCTACCTCACACAACTGCAGTCTCCAAACCGAATGAACCTGTTGGCTAACATGAGGCCTAGACAGGCCGGCGGGGGTAAGGAAAGCTGGGGAAGTCGGTTGCAAGAGTGCGTCACTTTGTGGCTCAAACAATCGAGGATGTTTGACCACAACGGCCAGCTTAACGTGACTTGTCTGCACTGAGCATCAACGCTCAAATGCACGTTCTTTTATCGACATTCGATGGCCTCAGGCGAGGAGGTTTCTAGTGATAATCAGTGTGTTGGTGTCAGGCCTGCCCTGGCTTGCTAGGGCAAGAACAACCTCCGCTAGCCTAACGCTAGCTGTCGCGACCCAAATGTTTGGAACGAAAAGTCTACGTCAAATCCTGTCTCTCATGTCTGCAAACGGTTGCCTATAGCTTTATTCATATAACAAATATGTATTTATGTGTGTATGTGTATGAGCATATATATTTGTATATAAAGGCGTTGTTCCCAGCCACACTGCATTTTAGCTTTGCACGGTCAGAGTTGTGACAGAAATTAAACAACACAAATCTTTCAAACAGTTCACTCAACTCTCTTTGTGACCCCGTACGATAGATGCGGCACTGGGAGGGGGTGAACAATTAGCTTTAAAATTTAGTTGAGGGCACCTATAAGTTTGCAAGTTTTTCTATGTTTTCGGAAATTAACTGAGCCAGACTCTAGGCCTAGATCAATTTTCTACAGATTCTGCTTGGGGAAGCCTCTTAATTGGCCGAGCGCTCGCAAACCACTGGATAAACTTTGAGTATCCCCGGCAAAACCTTAAATTGCCCACCCTTCCTCCAAAGGCCACCCCCCCCTCAATTAATTTCTTCCAACGCATGGATTTGTAGGGTGGCTGGGCGTTCCCTCCCCACAACGCCCCCAAAGTCATAGTCTGCAGTTTCTTGTATATACTGTGAAATTCCTGTCAGATTCTTTATGATTCTGAAAGCCTATAGGAAATACGTGTGATCAATTCTAGTTGATGGCCTAATTCCCCATGATTATTTGATTGCTAATTGGGGGTCAACCCATGTGTGTGTTAACAAGACATAGCTTGATCCAAGGCACACTCCAAAAAAACCAATCAATTTGATTCTCCGGCTTTGGTTTCATCAAGATTCTCCACACATTCTCGGAGAAGAAACAAATTGTATAATTGAGAAAAATTAGTTGCCAACTGAGTACTCTACCCAATTTTTTTTGGTTCAGCCATCGCGCATGGCTTCGAACCCAAGGACCCAAGGACCCATTCAACATACCCACTCACCTCATTTGTTTGCCTCCTTTGTTGTCCTTCAATGTTTTCCACAACCCCCTGCTTTGCTATTAGGAGCTGGCTCAAGCCAAGGCCCCTGGGTTCTACATCAATTCAACAAATTTGGCGAAATCGCCGATCCACATTGGTCCACTTAAGTTACATGCTGGCTAAGACCGAAAATCAATCATTGACATATTCCCATAGCACCCTACTGGTTCACAGGCCTTGGCCTAAGGAATTATATACTGAAATTGAGGCAGCTGGAAACGACGTAAGGAATCCTGTGCATGGTCTTGGAACCTTGCACATGTGCGCGTGTTGTTCTGTAAAGCCTCCTGCGCCTTTTGGTCACACCATCTGCATCAAACCAAGGCACTTTTTCGTTCCTGGCTGCAGGACTGAGAGTGTGCAACAAAGCTAATAGGGAAAGGGGGATGGTGCAAACGGCACACCACACATGGCCTTTCTGTCACGAAGCAGCGCGAGCAAGTCTGCCTGACTCGCTTGAATTTCGCAATGTCCACACAAAAACCCAGCAAAAGATTTGTTTGAAATCCAGGTTGACGAACCCCACCTTTTCCAAGCACCCATCGTGATCAATGCCGAGAGCCGTCAACAACTCCTTGAGCTCCTTGATAGAGAGGATACCTGCCGCCGACCACCAACACAGGCGCGTCACCACCTTCCTTTAACCCATGGGCCAAACCAAATGTCCAACAAAACACTGCCTTCACTGAATTCAATCCAGCAAAAACAAATCAGGCGAACCTGGATCAGAAGGAATCTCCACGTTCTTTTTCGCTTTGGGTGGCTGAGGCACATGCGCAGCAGTTTGCGGAGCTGGCGGCGGCTTAGGCACAGCACCTTGCCACAAAACGAAGCTGGTTCATTGTGGCGTTGGAGGGTGCCAAAAGTGCACAAAGTCAATGCGCAAATCATTTTTCACTCAAAAGAGTCTTGGCGCGACTTAAATATAGAATTTAATGCCGCTCTGCATTATGTCAAAGAGCTATATAGGTCCTCACAGCTAGAATCATGACATTGGAGAGCTGCCTGGTCGAGGCCGTTCACTCGAAGAGTCGCGTGAGGAAAACCTGTGGAATCCGCCTCAGCAAAAGCATCGTTTTTCTTGAGGTTGCGTTTTTCTGTCCACCACCTGCTGGACATCGCTCAAAACAGGGTGTATGACCCCATGACCGTCACTATGTCTCGCCACCAAGTTTCTGCCAAGGCCGTCTTTGGAACGGAGCCTGACCAAAGTGGAGTCATAGGCAGCTCGTTTCCTGCAAAGCTGCGGCGCATATTGTGCCAATGGGGCGCATGAATCCGCGCGGTCCTTTCATCAGTCAAGGTTTCCACTGCGGCACCACACTCTTTGAATTTGTCTTCATCACCACCCTGGGGCACAAGCGACGGAGCAACTGTTTCTCATAAGCTGGCTCTATCCCTTTTATGCTTGCAAAACATCAAGTGTGATAGATGTGTTTAGTTCTGCTTCACACGAAAAAGTCAGGACACCAAACAAACCATTGGCGCACCAACAACACCATGTCCATCAGTGGCAATTGTCTCTACCTACTACTGTATATACATGCAAAACCCATTGAAACCGGTCGCCTTGTCCGGGTGGTGGGTCAAGGCCGCTTTTTTGTACGCGCGCTTGATTTCCTGAAGTGACTGGATTAGCAAAACTGGGATTGCTACAAGCAGCATGTGCACCGGCCTGTGAACCCAAACCCCCGAGCTGTCCTCAACAGTCGCATCTCGGGTGATACCCAGAACATCATAATAGTTCTGGGCCATCACTGCGCTTGAAAATTTAGGCCAGGCTGTTGTTTTGTTTTTTGGGCCGCTGCCAGCTTATATACATGCCTCCATTGAGTCCAACACATTCACGGGCATTGGTCATTTGCGAAATTGCTGCCACACACCCTTGCAATGCATGCGTTTGATCTACAATAGCTTACGGCATGCGAAGCGACGTTAACAGGATCATTGTAGATGGACATCTCACGGTCGCCAAAAAAAAAAAAACAATTTCAATGCCAGCTGGCTTCATCTAATGACAACAACACTTCAAAACAATATCCCGACGGCCCCTTTGTTGTCGAGTTTCCCTTCGGCAACATTCCAAGACCACTGCGGTTTAAACCGGAGGCAGGGGCCAAGGCCATGGAACCAGACACATGAACCTATGTCGTGCCCAACCCTCGATTTAACAAACACATCGAAAAATGTAGTTTTTACAAACGCGGCCCTTCCTTGGACAAAACATACCGTATCTCTCTGGTGTTCGAAGTGCGGGGACGCCGACATGGTACATGTCGACACAACGAGATTCTTTTGGTTGAAACACCCGTGTTCCCAACAAAACTATGCACATGTACACTGCTACAAAACCTTTGTCACTGCTAATTTCTGGCGGATGGATTGGCCAGCCTCGGGCTTTCATGGGATGTCTCTGTCAAGGGTGAGGAGCAAGCCCGAAGCCCCACAACCATTTATCCAATCTAGCACTGTTTAACATAAATTTCATCCCCAGGCCCCTGCACCTCTTCATCCGTGCGCCCGTGGCAATGCACCAACTGTTTCATACGAATGGCCTCAACTCCTTCATGTTTCGGGCACTCGCCAGCAACACACCTACTTGCTCAAAGGTTGGCCACCACGCCCTGCTGGTCATCAACTCAGGCACCATCATCGTGCCCATGTCCGCCCCATGTCTACCCACTGTCTTTCAAGTCAAGGTTCGCCTCCGCAGCCCAATCACACAAATCCAAAAAATGTTGATCTAGCGCTGTTTGGAACTGCGTTGGTGACGATCATGTAACCCTTGCAGAAAGATCCCGAAAACGTTCCACCATTACTTCGTTGACCTTGCTGCATGGGCTGCCAACACTCAGCAGCCAGTGGCCAGTCTTGCCACACACTTATTGAATTGTCTTGCCAGTCTGCCACACGCCAAAACCGAAGGTGGTAACTGACGAGCCTTCCACGGAACCTCTACAGGCCATGAGCTCCAACTGCGGAAACGCGACAGGGTGACGATGGCCCGTGCACATCTGCAGAGCGCACTAGCGCTTTATTAGCTTTATCAGCAAAAATTGGAATGACAGCTCGGGCAACAGTTTCCAAAGCAGGTACGCCGGGTTGATCAAACCCGGCTTCCACCATCACGCATAGCTTCGTTGGCATGCGTTTGCGTGATGGCTGCATGCCCCCTGCTAAAAGAACATCGTGAAGCAAAACAATCCAAAAGGAACCGCGTGACTCCAGAGAGGACACACACACACACACGAAACAAATTTGTCGGGGTCCCTGCTTACTGGGACACCACGATCTCCCTCACATTGACGACATTGACTCAGGTTGCACATCCGGGGTGAAAGTTATGGAAGCAAAGGGCGCCGCAAGTGGAAGGAAAAAGGGGTTCGAACGAAATGCTTTGCTGCTGAGCTCCGCTTTCTCGCACCAGAACAGCGCAAAGCTTTTACGGTTCGGTGCACAACGTCAACTCACATGCCTGAAAGCAACACGGGACACCTGAACGGTTTAACGTCCGTCTCATTTTTTTGTTGCTTTCAGGCGGGGCTCAAAAAAAACGTCACCAGTCGTGACGCCCGATGTTCCAACGGGCGCTGGTGGTTCGGCAAGTCCATCAGGCCCCCGTTCTCCTCAACAACCCTCCATGTTGGCATGTCCTTCACTTGGAATTCGGCGATGGTGGTTCGCCATGGGCGGTCCCTCACACCTGGAAACGTGGCGTCGGGTTGCAACAGCTCGTGGTTTGAACAGCCACATGGACACCGATGTTGCCGTTGAAGCGCCAGCCTGGGGACAAAGGCGAGGTGCTGAACGTGGCTCATCAAATGTAGCCTTCCAAGCCACAGGAATGTTCGTGACATCCTTCTTTTCCTTTTTGCAGCTCTGTGGCACGGGAATGCTTGATTTGGAAACGCCAATACACCACCAATACCAACAACGTATAGCGCCGGTTTGCTCTACGGATCGCCTTTCGAAAAAACAGCGCGACCGCCTGCACTTCTCAACGTCCAGCCTGGGTGAGCACCAGCAATGCGAAAGAGATGCTAGGCTGCGCGGCTGCCTGTGGGCGCATCACTACTTCACAATGAAAGTTCGTCCTTGCAGCAGAGGGCGACAATGCGCAATGCAACTATTTATGCAGCATTCAATGACAATGGGCACGTTTGCCTTTCTCAGGGTAGATTTCATGCAGCGAGGCCCTTCCAGGTGGCCAAGGCCACTTTGCCATTTCTTGTACTCTAGGCAGCTGATCGCCAACGTCCATCCAAAGTTCTTCAAGATGATGATTCCCTAAAGGCCTGCTCGTAACATGGGGTGGATGTTGGAGTCCTGTTCTGCCATGAGAACATCAATGGACCTGCCGCCCGAGACCATGGAACACAGGCCGGTCAGCCTTGCTTTCTCTCTCCTCCGCAGCACCTTCGAACAAGGCTCGCCGTACAACACCCCAAGTCCACCACCTCTTCCGGGACAACTGGCAGCTTCTGCTCTTCATCAGTTGAATCGAAATTTATGCCTGGGCATCATCAGGCGGGCCCCTTTAAGGCACACGCGAGTGGAAAAGAAAAATGCACTGCATTACGGTGTCATGAAAATTGCCAAAAGAATCTTGTCATTGTGACCACTTGCCCGTCGCCAGATGTGCTTAAGGGGCGCTGAAGGGGACCAGCACTGCAGCAACCGACACGGGCTAAAGTCCAAGCCACGGGGGCCCGTCAGGGCGCGAGGCGGGAGACCACTGGTGCTGGGGGTGTTTCCCAAAGGATGTCCCTGAGGAGCGGAGGGTCTGCATGGACGTTGGAGTGGACGGCAGTCTCTTCAAGAACCAAGCTGGCGGCGAATGAGCGGAAGGCAGCTGCAGCAAGCAGAGCTGACCAGCGAAAGATGAATGCCGTTGCAGCCGATGGTCGCAGCAAAGGGGGAACAGAGCGTGTTGTGGCGGCTGCCAGTAGCCGAGGTAAGCTGGCAGACTCCTGGCTGAAATCGGCCCCCCACTTCGATCCCGAGGACCACCCGTTTGCAGCGTTGTGCTTGGAGAAGCTTGGGAAGTATAATGAGCACCGTACGTGATGAAGATTCAAAAATAGGAATATCATCAGCAAATCATGAATCAAGCAAAGGAGGCAGGCCATCTTGTAAGTCTAAACCGAAAACCCCCACAGTTTGTGTCCAATGCCTCATGGCGTCTTCCAGAACGGCGCAAACCAAACGCGGGTTCAGAACCCTGACGAACACCTGACGGAATTTCCTGGCTGTCGTCCATTTCGCCCATGACTTGTCCAACTTGATGAGCATACACAAAAACCAATACCCAAAGTTAATGATCCGAAATGTTTTGTTTGCGCAACACACGCCACAATGCTGGCCAAAGACTTTGTCAAGTGCCTTGGACAAACCTAAATTCACTATCCAGATTGGGGGTGTCATCATGATGGTTTCGTCTAAAAACAAATTTGCCCTCAACAGATCTTTTCTCAAAAACCCATAGTTTGTTGTGTGCCATCTTCTGGCTGAACCTTTGCACCAGACAGAAAAGCGTCGGCCCGGGCAAAGGCAGCAAAGGAAGTGGCGCCAAGAACTTTGAGCAACCACGGGTAACAAGTCGCCAGATTGAAACCAGCAGGGTTGACATGAACGCAACCACCATTGCAGCACTGAGAACAAGGATGCGAGCAGACTTAGGGAACCCGAGGCAAACATAGCAGGTAAAATCGAAGGCCTACAGAATGAGTTACGTGATAAGAGGGGGGAAGTTTTAACAGAGGATTTAAATGCCGGAGGTTTCCCAGCCAAGCGCAAATTTGCGAGGAACAAACGGAGAAGGAAACAATTGTTGCCGGAGGATGCGTGGACCTGGACAATGAAGAATCGAAAAACTCGTCAGCGAGATTCAACGGGGTTTTGTGCGACGTCAGTGGCTTTCTGCTAGCCTACACAACCTATCCTACACCTGCAGTAGTTTTTGCCCAGTTTGACCACCCCGACCAATGCTATGTTCCTGTCAACCATTGAAGATGCCGAAAATGTCAACCAGGTCTGTTTGCTCCTCGGGGGGTTGCCTCCTCTTCAATGTTTGTGCAACATTTGTGTTTTTCATGTCGTTGATATGCCTTACTTCCTGGCGTTTTTGGGTTGGCCGACTGGGTCTTGATCTCAGTGGACGATTCCTTCCGTCATATTTTTTTGGTCGGCTGATGGCGGCATGTTCCAAAGCAAAGCCGCCTTGAGCCTTGAGCCAAATGCATCTGCCTTTATCACCCCGGGGTTTTTCATGTGCCGTAGGCTCCGTAACTCGTCAAAACCATAGTGGTCTGGGAAGTCCTCCGTGGAAGGC